GCTCTCCTATAGCTTAACATTTTCAGCACTTTTGCCTACGTCCTCAAAACTTGTCGAACAAGCCATTTCAGAAAACCAAGTCATTTTACCTCAACAGTGTACTGTTTGGTAATACACAGCCTGATAAGATCACCTTACTCGCGACTCATTACCATCTTTGGCCATTTCAAAAAAATAAATACACAAGCCAACTCTGTCAAGGTATAGGCTCTGTCTCACTTTAAAGGGGACAGCGTATCTGAGCTAAACGGACACTCTGCTATACCTCATACAGACCTACTCACATTTTGATCAAATTACCCATTTAAAAACTAAGAGAAAACCTAAAATGTTGCTACATACCCATTTGCTCAGGATAGTCTATAGCACACTACTGAATTTTCAGGAGCTGGGAGTCTAAGGCACCCTTCTTAGAAGTCCGACAGTTCATTCTACTCAAGGTCAAAGAACCCATTCTCTATTTCAGCCAACGTTAGGGAACACTAGCTTATTGCCTTGGGTTCTAAATCTTGTTATTCCTATTACAATAGAATTCAGCTTATAATCATTACAGTATTCTCTGCTCGAAACATTTTAATAGTGTTGCAAGGACTAGTAGAAATAGGAAAATCTCTTGCTATTTGTTGATGGAAAAAGTTTACACAAACCTCCAAAATGTCATTTGTAGGCCATAGGAGCATGAGCACAACCATATGGGAGGAGATAACCAGTCTCTCCCTTCATATATATTCTTTTTTATTTTCTTGTTATACCTTCCCAAAACAGAGACATTCAACAGTAGTTAGAATGGCCATCTCCCAACATTTAAAAAAAACTGCACCCCCCAATGGGTGAACAAAGTAGAGTGGTAACCTAGAGTTCAGCTGGGTAAGCCACTGCGGAGCCTTAAGTGGTGAGGTCTTCCAATTTCAGAGTGATGTGTCTTCAACTTGTATCATATTAGTGGAAATACATAATTTAATTTTGGTGAAATGAGATTCATCTCCCGACAGGATTAGTAACAGCATTCACTGAATTTCACATTCTTCTTTTGTGAACTGTGAAGAAAATGAATGGTAGCTAGAAGATCAATGGGATTCCAGCTCCAGCTGCAGGTGGAATGAAGATATACCAGGACAAAAACACCTATATTTTGATTTACAAAGCTAACAGCAGTTTTAAATCTGCAACTTAATTACAGACCAACTACACCACAACCTTTTCAAATGGCAAAAATACAAAAAAGTTAAGTGTTACAAAAATATTTCAGAAAAAGTGCATAGTCTAAGTGCATAGTAAATAAAAGCACTGAAAAATATCTTGCTAGAGGGAGTTCAGCTTGGAAAAGTTATTACCAAAGCTAAACCTTTTTATTTTACACAAACTATACTCAAAAATAGCTTTATGAGACTGATTTCTGGCTAAAAGTATCAAAGGGTTTATTAGTCAAGAAACAAATACCTTAACTGACACAGGTGGATAGAAAAGAAACAAGTAAGCTGCCTACCCCAAAAGTTCGCACTCATTAAGATTTCTGCAGTGTGATGGTGCTAACAGATCCTTTAATAGCAGAATGTGGTAATCATGGGATTAATTATTGCTAAAGTAGTTTTAAAAGAGAAAAAAATAAAACTTAAACCTGACACAATCTGACCAAACATGTGTCAATGTACAGTTTCAAGGTAATTTTTACAAAATACCTACATTTACACAACAGGCTTCTGGCAGCATTTTCAGACAAAGGTTCTTTTAATTTATCTTGACATGCTATAAATGAATAAATTACACTATTTAAAGAATTACTGTCAATAAGTTTTTCTTTCTCTTGTGTCAGAGAGAGGCAAGAAAAGAGTGCATTTAAGATTGAGAGGAAGCGCAGATAACGGAGGGAAAAGAACAGGGGCTCAGGGAGGGTCAGCAATCACATGAACCTCACCCGGTGGGATGCTCTCCAAGGTTAAGAATCTGCTCAACTCCAATTAACACAGAATTTAAAGAAAAACTATAAAATGGTAGTTAAACCCTTTAATGCTTTCATTCTTACTCAAAATCAGTCCAGCTGTGTAGTTTGAGGCTGCAGGAGTTAACACCACTAAGCCCTGGCCACTGCAGCACTAGGTACTGTGCCTGCAAGTCACTAAAAAAAGAAAAATGGAAGAATGCCTTTCCCCTTCAGACAGGGGGCGGGGGGGATTAAATTAAAAAAATCTGAGGAAAAAGTTATTAACACTAAATCTAAAATGATTTGCAAAGGAATAGTATGTAACAAATGGCTTGAAGTAGTCTATTAAAAAACTGGGGAGATTTTGATTTCATAGTGAGTCAGCAAGGCATTTTTGTTAAAAAAAAATCTCATTTCCTTACAGAAACAGTTTTTAGTTTTTAATGAACTTGTAAACAAAAAAATGCTCCCATTTCAAAATAAAAACAAAATCCCAGATCATATAGATGTTTACAGTGATTACATTTATCTAAGCAACATACATACATGTTCAGTTGTAAGATGTTAACTAAATTTGTGACAAATATGCTTTTTTTTTTTTTTTTTAATACCAAGAACATTATAGAGTTAATGCAGAGTCCTAAGGATAATCTAGTAGTCACTAAGTTTTTCTTAAGTCTTCACTTTAGATGCTGTTATTTCTAGCACGGGTAAGCAGGCAGAGTCTTTCGTATGCTCAAACACTGGAATCTTTGGTTGCTACCATATCAGCCGGCTTGCAAACAAGAAGCCAACCATTTTAAGAATGTTTTAAGTGAACAACTTGCAAACCCCAGGGATGGATAAACCCTAAGAATGCACAATTGTGAGCATTTACAACCATCACAACTGTGGCTGAAGACTGTTCATGCCGTTCTTCTGAAATGAGATCTCAAAGCAGTATAGTTCAAAATAAAAGATTTTAACAAAAAAATTGGCATATGCACAATTTCTCCACCAATTTGTGTGTGTCAACCATTTAGTTAACTTTTCCACTTGAAAAAATGCAATAGAAAACTGGACACCATGTTTCACTATCTCAGTTAATATTCACAATTACAGCGGCTACAACTCGGGACACGGCATCACCAATGCTGCCCAGAGCCAGTTTATACTGAAATTAAGTTCTTTACACCAAGTAAATGGTTGTTCACAACCACTGGCTAGTGTACATATGAACTAAAATTCCTAGATTTGGGGAGAAACAAATGCTGCTCCGATCATCTGCTCTGCTTCTTCTGTTCCTCAATTCATGCTTAGAAACCTGTTTAAAAAAAAAAAAAATCAAAACAGAAAAAACAATGTTAAAATTCCAAGTTAAAAAATATGTATTTTTTAAAAACTACACCCAAAATCGGGAAATTGGGTGAAACTGAGCTAATAATTTTAGAGTGGTGACTCATGTTACAATCTCATCTATTTGAAGATGACTAGAGCTCAATTTTTTAAAACAACAAAAAGCCCTTTTCTGTTCCGGATGCCTTTAGGTAGGAGGGGTACAGAGTCAGTCTTCCCAGTCAGCATATAATTCTCAAGCTAGAGAATTACTGGTGACTTCAATGAGCTTGTTTTGTTTACTTCCATTATTTCTAGTACCTATGTGTTTAAGTATCTATCAAATGAATGAAAAATAGATAGCTTTGCCTTAAAACTAGAAAGTATGTAATGTTTTAATTGTACTATGTGCAAGAAAGAAACTTTCTGCACATTGTTTCTGATACAAGTAAGCAACAGTAAGGTTTAATAACAAATATACTCAACAAATAATCGAATCATTCCACGGAACACAATCCTAGTAAGCGTATGACTTTTATACTGAAACCATGTACCTTTCAAAATTCTTTGCTTTCATCGATCACATTACAAAGGTGATGTTTTGCCCCGGTTTGAAAATATAAACAAATAAGGCCTTGGGGCGGGGGTGGGAGGGTTGGGGGGGATGGTGTGTCTTTATTTACTAAAGCCTTCCCACCCTATAAACGATAACCTCCTCCCACACAATTAGACTCTGAGACTTCCACCTCCAAGGAGATTTGAATAGAAAAACAGCTTCAGGTAATAGCTCCATATTCCATCTGTGGCTAAAGACTACTAGAGGAAATGCTGATCTCTATTACCTGCAAGGTCCATCTATGGCTAAAGGCAGAAGAAAGGAAATATGCCCACTTCTCACCAACTTCAAAATCCCATCAGTACCACCTCTCTTGTAACAGCCATCCTTCTAGGTGTCTGTACCCCTTGGTGCACCCTCCCCCAGCAAACTCTTAGAGCTGCCTCACTACCGCTCCTTGTAGCTCACTTTGATCTCTCACTTCTTCAGCACTGACACCGTGTTTTTGTTAATCAATAACCTTCCCCCTTTTTTGTGCTTTTCAAGCATTTGTTGGACCATCTCCAACAGGCTTTGTGGGATAAATAAAAATACTATGCTTCTATAATTTACTTTGCATGAATGTAGGCCCCTCTCTTCCAAGATAACATCAGACATTTATATACCATTTCTTGGTTAATACTGTCTGACTTGGTAACTTAAATTTTTCCATCTGAGGGCAGAAAGTCCTCTTCATCCACTTAAAAATATATTGGGCTAAAGACCTGAGGACAAACAAGTATCAAAACACTTCTTTCTCTCTCCACATTAACTAATGGGAGTTGGTACAAAACAGACCTTTGTTGCCTGCCCAAGTACTAAATTCATAAAGCAAATGCCAAAAATGAAAAACAGTGAAACTTTCTAAAAATGTACTTTGCCACAAGGAATATTATCTATTTGGTGTTTATCACTAAAAAGAAGTACCAAGGTAAGCATAAAAAGAGAACCCTGTCAAACCAAACCTGAATTAAATTTTAAAGTAAGACCATATTCTGTAACCTAATGCCAATGTTAGAAGAGAGTACTATAAAGCAGATTAAAACTATGAATTAGCTAAAGAGAAATGACCCTTACCCACATGAGCATTTAAGTCCCGCAATTATTCTTAAATATGGTTAACGAAAAATGTTTACGCAACTACGAAAATGATTTATCATAGCTATGCAATTACATTATATTGAGCAATTTAATTACTATGTTGAATATCCAAACAGCTTCAAAATAGAAACCACTGTCACTAAAAAGAAGGCTTAAGTTATATTGTCAAAATATTAGAAAACTCTCAACTTTAATAGGGATAAAAATTATATCTAGATAAGAATTGTACTGTTCATCTTTTAATCTGATATTTTAGAGATTCCTGGGTCAATTAATGATTACAATTGCTTAGGGGATAAGATATAGGCTAGCCTAAAAATATTCCCGGTAGAAGAGAGCAGTCAAACGCAGATTTAACTCTTCAGATTGGTCAATAGTAGGATACTCCACCCAGGGATCAATGTTTCTCCAGTGAACTGTCCTAAGATGTTACTGAAGTTTAAGAAAAATCTCAATGGGAGCATTCAGTGGGTATTCAACATTTAATCTTCAAGTGCTGGTATTCTTTTTCCCAGTGTGCGTGAGTCCTTGGTTTTTATCTTGTGGTTTAGGTGGTCTCTCCTGGCTTCTGGCTTCTAAAAGTCCCAAAACCCATCTTCACTGCAACAACAGTTACAATAAGGAATGGATCCCTTTGTTCCTTTAAAAAAAAAAAAAAAAAAAAAAGGAGGAAAAACCAAAGTTAAAACAGAGTTGGATGATCACTGGGACCACTGAGTTAATAGCTACATTTAAGTTTCTTTTCAAATCTGCAAAAGGAAAAAAATGTTTGTATTTATTTCACTATGGAGATTCTCCCCTTCTATCCCTTACTCCAAAATTTGAAGAGTATGTATTGGCTTTTATTTGTGAATTCACTTCAGATGTCCCTGATTTTCTTTTCTTTTTTTAAAAAATAGAACCACAAACTAGTTCAAACAGCTATTTATATAACAGTATGGCTTGAAGTCTGTGATGGACCTTTGAAATTTCGGGATCCTTTCACAGCAGAAAACTATTTTTTCTAGAAAACAATTTTTTAAAAGGAGTCTGAAGACAAGATCCATTCTTAAAATGCAATGTCATTTATCAGTCAAGTTTTCTACAACATGCCTGTGTGGGTTTTTTGGTTGCACAAAAATCAGAATCAGGCTTGGACAATTCTGAACCAGACTGGCACTATAAACGTTAAAGAAGAAAAACAAACAACTACAGTAACTTTTCCTAACTAAACTAAAAATGTATTAAAAGTTGGGAAAGATAGAAGATAGATTTTACTTTTATCACTACAAATAAACAACTTAAGTATACAAATACACATTACCGCTAAAATGCATTAAAAAAAAAAACCCAGACTAACGATCTGCTTTCTTTTGTCTTCCCTATTACAGAATTCTGAGGTTGTCGAATTTTAAAATACCTGTTACAACTGAGTCCTTCCCCAACTGGTAGATGGTCTGCATTCTACACCACTGAGTCACAGCAACACTGCACTCTTCTAGGTCTTCCAACTGTTGTGGTCTCCATCCAGACAATCTGACAAGTTGAAGTTTTTGATAGGTCCAGCAAGCCTTGAAGATGTGGGCTTCAGATCGCCACAAATCAATTCTTGCACACTTCTCTTCACTTCCTGTTGGGTTACTGGGCTCTTTCCTCTCCAGTTGTACTGTCCACAGTGAAAAAAGCTGACAAAAACTTCAGCACGCAGAGTAGCTCCCTGGCACTTCTTTAGACTGAGTGTATTCAGAGAAGATCAGTTTCCAGATATTTCAAGGTCTTCCCCTGTGATTTGGGTTACGTTGCTGAGTGACCAGCCACGTTCCTAGCAGCAATTGGTGAAGTCAGAAAAAGTTAAGCTAGAGATAAATGGTAGGTGAATCCCAGTTAATACTGGAAGGCAATTCAAGGAAGACCATGGACATGGTAGGAAAATGTGATGGAAAAATACGGAAGACCACGGACATGGTAGGAAAATGTGATGGAAAAATACTCCTATCTTCTATCAGCAATCTGACATCCATCTATATTATGATAAAACTACACCTGATATCAATGGTTGGAGCAGTGAACAGATGGATTAAGATGATGAGAAAAGAAATGTGAGGAACCAACTTGGCTTCACTACCTTCCGAAATTCTCCCCATCTCTGACCTCAACTAAAGAAATGGTGGATTTAACTGGATTCTGAATGTCCTAAAAATATTTCCTTTTCCTTTAGTACTTCTTAATGTCTTGAAAAGTACTCTCCTGATAATCACATATAGTTGAAGGAAGTGAAATGAATTTGTAAGTGCCTCAGATACTAATCTTTTATTTTTCTCCTTAGTATGTACAAAAAAGTAATCATAATCTCACGGCACATGAGCACTTCAGATTAGTACAGACCATAGTAGGCTTTACAAGAAATGCCTTGTTTCTTAGTCTTTCGATGGGCTTTGGAATGGAGTATTTCAAAAGATCTTTTCTTTAGAAAAGTAATTAGCAAAGAAGTCTATTACATATAACAAGCCCATCTCAGCTAAGGCAGACTTTAAAGAGTCTTTGGCCATTCTTAGTGAACTGCTGAAACAATCTACACTTTTCCATGGAAGACACATTTGATATAAATTTATCAAAAAATAGAAGTAATATAAATGTTAGTTACCACCACCATTTGGGGGATTTTTCCAGGAATACATATTCCTACAATATATAGCCCTACTTACTGAAGATTCATTAAGAAACTCAATTCTCTGTGGAAAACCTGAGACTGTAACACCATGAACGGAAACTGGTATGATGTATTTAAAAAGTATCTTCTAAAATTTTAATTAGAAAATGTACTATGGTGTTATCATCATCACTGAAAGCAGATTTCTTGGAATCAGCAAATAGCTGAGCTGAATGAACTCTTCCTTGAATAAAAAACTACTGTACTGGACCTTGACAGAATGTGCTTTCAACCACTCTTATTAATTAGAGACTGAAATCAGGAATAAGTAATCTAGAGTGACTGTCTTCAAACTCCAGACCTCAAGATTTGGGGTTGGAGTTAAGGAAATGGGCTCTCCATTCTTATTCCATGCCACTCTCAAACCTGCTATACTTTTCCTAGCTTCATACCTAGGGGATTTCATGTGATAGTTGTTTGGGACACTAAGCTCTATAACCAAAATAAATGTTTTCAAGAAGTAAAAAGATCAAATACAACTCTGTTGTTTGTATTCTGTGGCATGGAATGTTTTAGCAGCAAGCAGTATTTCACTTGAAATCAAAATATACTACTTCAAATGTTTCTCTGAAAGTAGTCAATGTTAAGTGATACATTTTCTGCAAAGTCCAATTCTTCAAAATTTTACAGGTTGGTGTTTATGAAAAACAATTTGTATAAACCCTGGGTCTAACACTGCTACGAAAATTTTGCAAGATTTCCTTTTCTTTCTTTTTAAAAAAATTAAACTCTAAAAAAAAATAATAATAAATTAGAAAAAAATTAAACTCTATCCCCAATGTGGGGCTCAAACTCATGACCCTGAAATCAAGAGTCGCACGCTCTGACTGAGCCAGACAGGCACCCCAAACACCCTGTAAGATTTTTATGTTGCTTTTATGAAAAATAGTTACAATACAAAATTAAGGATTAAACTTAAGTTTAATTACAATTTCTTTCCAAGGAAACATACTAACTCAGTGGATCCAACTTCTCATCTTTAAGACCTAGATAAGGTAGGACAAAAATTCTTCTTGTTTATTGAGAAAGACACAGACAGTGGAACCAACTCAAAATAAGGGAATTCTTTCTGAAAGCTGCTGTATGCCTGAAGTGAAATGTTCTACATCAGACAAGATTTAAATCTAATTTTAGTTCTAGAAACTGCAACTCGTGATGATCCTATTATCCCAGCTAGCTTTAGGCAAAAATTGGTTTCATTTTATGAAAAAAAGCAAATACCCTATAGATATCAGGTGTAACAAGTCCGAAGTCTAGAACGTTACACTGGTATGACCATTTCTGAGAGATACTACCTAGCAACCTACCTCATTAAGAGTTTGGCACTGTGATTAGTCATGCAATGATTAAAACACTCAAAAGGGACAATTAAGTCCCAACTGAGACACAGAGGCAAGCGTTAGTGTTTGCTATCCTGAGCTGAAATTTCATCATCTAAGAAACCCCATTACATTAAGCCTTCAACTGTGAATCCTTCCCAAATACACAAACATGGAAGAGAAGAATCTCAACTTCATTTCCTAATAGATGAGCTGCTGGGATGAGGATGACATCAGTGAATTATACTTCCTGAACAGTATCCTCAGGTTAGTGTCTATTTTTAAATTACAGAATTTTTAAAAAAACACAATATTAAAAATATAGACCCAAAGACTAAGTTCAGACTAAAGCAGTCATTCAGAAATTAAATAATTAGAAACCAAAGACCAAACCTTACCTGCCCACCACTTCCAGAAAGTAGGCAGGTATCAGGAGGTAAGCCCCAGAAAGGGCGGAAAGAAAAACAAAAACAATGAAACGGAGGAGTCAAACTGTATGGCAACAGTGACAAGAATGGAGCTGTGCCCTAACAGTTCCACTCCTTAGAAGCACTGAGAGTGCCAGAGACAAACAGGAAACAGACTAGTAGTAGTTTGGTGGCATTTGCCCCAAGTTTCTTTTCATTTTGCAAAGCCTAACAGCAGAATTCAATTCCATAACGAGCCCCCAGACCCTGAATATTTGCAAGATTTTATAAAATAGAGTCCAAAACAAAACAATTGTTTTGACATTAAGAACCTTATGTAGTTAAATAGCCACTAAAAGAGACATCTGGTTTTCGACTTAGGAAAGATGCGTCAAGCTTTTCAGTTATTTGAGCATTTAAAGAGCACAAAGGAGATGCTCTGAAACTGAGAAGATAGACACTTTGGGGGCAATGCCAGACTCACCTCCGGAAATTAGATCATGTTCACAATTTCCCATTTTAAATGCTAAAACATTAACATGCAGAAAAAAATTCTTAACACTGTTAGTCTGAAATAAAGTCCAAATACCATAACTAACCAGATTCATTATTAAAAATCAACAAGTGTTAGGTCTAGGATTTTGGATTGATTGATTATACCATATTCCCAACACCAAATGTTTATTTTGGAAAGGGTTAATGAATGAGTAAAAAAGATGCAGTTGTTAAAAATGACCCAAAATCCCAAGAGAATGATATAATATATACACACATATATGTATATACATATACATATATATATGAACAAGGACATTTGGGTTTAAAGTTAGTAGTCAAATTTTCCAAGGACGTCTTTTTTTAGAAACACAGAGCCAAATTTTTATTTATTTTAAAACCACCTCCTCGATCTAACACTGTTAGAAATGAATGAATTACCCAATTTTGTATTCAATTTGTTCCCTGTAACGTCACTTGGTTCTTGGCTACTAACCTTTCATGTTACTCTTGGTTTTGTCAGTTTGCTTGCCTGTGGGGGTTTGGGCCTGCTGACCCTGCCCACTTGAAGAGGCTGCCTGCTGTGCTGCTTTCTGCTTTAACATTGTCCAATCAAATGTGTAGTCATATTGGTGGTTCAGGGTCCTGGAAAACATAAAATGATATATGTCAATCCTTTAATAATAGTCTAGTTAAATACTCTATTGAGCTTTCAAGACAGTGAGGGCACTTTCTAAGGAAATCAGAGTATTTTCTCTTAGGTATGGTAGCTTCTAGAAGATTTCATTCCATATACATGACTTTTTAACTGTTCAGTGCATTAATTCCACTTTTTACAAGTCACAACTGAAGGAGAATGATGTCACCACTTCAGTCTGATGTATTAAGAATAATCTTTTTCGAAAAGAAGCCACCTTTATTACTTTCTTGAAAGAGGCAGGGGAGTGAGAATGAACCGTAGCATAACAACAAAAACATGGAGTCAAGCGGTCAATTATCTAGGGAACCACCCAACCAGGAGGTACCTCCTAAGAACTAATCAGATAAGTTTAAGAACACAAGCTTGTGGGGGAGACGTGTATGCTGGTGGCTTGCAAAGACGACTTTTCTGGGGTTAGAGAATTACCCCCAATTCTTACCCTCTTCCAACTAAGACTTCAGGCCACATATACTTTATTCCCTCCATGCTCAAGACCACTTCTGGGTTGCACCGAGGGAACCCTAGAGTCTGAGGCCTGACTCCACACAATCATAGGCCCCATAACTATCTTAATTAGTTAATTTTGTTATTAACAAAACAACTGTAGCAAAGCTATAGAGTTCCAAGGGCCACCAATAATCACTTCTAATATGAATGGCAATTATCGTGGAAAAGTTAGATTCTACTTTGAGTCTGAATCAACAGTTTCTCCATCCCAAACTAAAAAATTCTAAGCACATTTGCACCACAAATGGGAACATGCCAAACTCAGTCTATTTTTTAAAAAAATATTTTATTTATTTATTTATTTAACAGACATCGAGCAAGAGCAAGCACATGAGTGAGCACAAGCAGGGGGAGCGGCAGAGGGAGGAGGCTCCCCACTGAGCAAGGAGCCTGATGTGGGGCTCGATCCTAGGACCCCAGGATCATGACCTGAGCCGAAGGCAGATGCTTATTAACTGACTGAACCACCCAGGTGCCCCTCTTTTAGTGTTTTTTCCAAACTCAGTTTCTTAAAATTTTATTCATATGGGTTAGGCCTGCTTTTAATTTGCTACTTGTCAGAACAGATGTGTTGGTGGATTTAACTAGTTTCCCTCACTAGAGTCTACAGTCTTAAAAACACCTTAAAAACTGGCCTGAAGGGGCGCCTGGGTGGCTCAGTGGGTTAAAGCCTCTGCCTTCAGCTCAGGTCATGATCCCAGGGTCCTGAGATCGAGCCCCGCATCGGGCTCTCTGCTCAGCGGGGAGCCTGCTTCCCTTCCTCTCTCTCTGCCTGCCTCTCTGCCTACTTGTAATCTCTGTCAAATAAATAAATAAAATCTTAAAAACAAACAAAAAACTGACCTGAAAAGAATGCGGAATAGCTGCCTCAGATACATGTAATCCGGGGCTTCCTCAAAGCGCAGCCCACGACAATAGTTTAAGTACATGGCAAATTCTGCAGGAAACCCCTACAAATTCAAGAGTTAAAACACAAAGTAAAAAAAACAAGAAGAAGTTTATTTAAGACAGGAAAATAAATATTTAAATACAAGTAAAAAGTGTTCTTGAGGAGAGTGTTTCACTACTTTGCCACAAGATCTGAGAACTAAACTAGAATATGACTTGGTATCCTCATAAATCCTGACCACCTGATCATGTACATCTTTTAATACTGGCAGGGGAAACATGGATCCTTTCCCTACAGTATAACATTCTTAAATAATCTGGATATCCAACTTGCTATTATTCTGTCAGTGTCTAATAATTCAATGGCAACAATGAAGAAATGACCAAATGAAAGCCACCAAGTTTAAGTTTCTTTTCCACAACAGGTCAATGAACTGGCACTTTCTCCCCAATTATGTAAGGTGTAGCTGTATATACCTATACAAACAGAGAAGTAAAATCACCAAGAGTACAAACATATAGCACAACCACTGTTGTCATACAGATCAATCATGAACAGACTGGGTTTGGATTTGGGTTTTTTCCGTAACATTGTCATAATGCATGCATAACATATTCTGTTTTCCCACTAACATTATATTGCAATTATACTTCTGTGTTATTTCCAACCTCTTCACAAGCTTCTGAATGGGTGCATAATATAGACCAGTGAACACATCCTAACTGTTTCCTATACTATACAGTTAGGCGATTAAAGTTTTTCTTTCATAAACATTATTAATAAGTACAGCTGTGGGCATAAACTCTTTACATGCTCAGCTTCTTAGGATTCTCAAAAATGTATTTAACACATCTATAAGCCTACAGATATTAACCGCCAAAAAGCTTTTGCCAGCAGCAATGTAGAAAATGCAAAAAAATTTGAACAAAAATCTCTACACTCTGCTTTGAGTACATGGTCATGTGAAGGGTTGTAAGTTAAAAGTCTCTTCCCACAACCTTCCAATTCTGCGAAACTTCTCACATGCAGGAGGTTAAGGTGGGATAGAATGGACATACTTGCAGTACTTTTACTCACTGCATTGACATAAACAGATTTAATTTTTATGCTACTTCACTGCTCCAAGAGTGAACAGCTGAAGTGATAAATATATTGTACATTTTATTTAAACTCTTAACATGACTTTAAAATTTGTAATATACATTCATGGTCTATGTTAATGTTAAGCAGCATATATCAAATGAATTTGCTTTTATGTGTATCACAAATAGAGCTAAACAACTACAAGTCAAATAGTTTACTTCATGCATTCCTACCTTATGAAAACAGGCAAAACCTTATTAACGTAAGAAAACTACCAATATCATAAGTTATTACAGATATGAAATATGTAGTTACCACTGGACTATGAGACTAAAAATAATCTCACTACTTTATAGTTAACACTAAAATTATGTGTTCACTGCACCCTCAATCAATTGTATGTGGCCAATCCGTAAAGACCTAGTTCATTATTTCTAGATCAAAATTAAGACATAACCCAGAAGCAAACAATGTACTAACCCTCCCTCCCTTTTTTCCTGTAAAAACGTCTGACATTTCCAGTAATCCAAATGAATTGTGATGTTGCACAGATATAGTAGTGTACAGAAAACAAATTTTGCTTCTTGAACTATACAGATTTTAAAGTTAACTGGGTATACTATAACACATCAACATTTTATTCATTGACCTAAAATGTATTTCATAATTTAAAACAAATCCCAAAGAGACTCAGAAAAGATGACAGTCTCTTACCCACCCCAACCCCTCCTCCTTTACTGTAAATCTAGAGATGGCAAAAGCAAATTTGTGGACAAAACATCACCTCTCCCCATTCCACAAAGTACTGTTTCAATACCATGTTCACTTCCCCCTTCTAACACCCAACTATATAATTATATCTTGTTTCCTAATAATTTCAGGTATGCAATTGTCTCAGAGAGGACCGTGCGGTTTTCTCTCAATGGAAAATACCATGGTTATTCATCATGACACAGCTCCGTCTCCATTCTCAACTTACAGGCTTCTCTAACAAAGTCTGAGATTTCAGGGAAATGAGCCTGACTCAAACTGTCATCTATACTGCTGGACACTGGCTATTTTGGATTGCTGTGATCTGCCTTTGTTTCTCTACTCCTTGATGTCCCTGACAATTTTCAATATCCCTTCTTTGCTAGCACCAGTTTAGGGTTAAGGAGAATATTTCCTAATTTTGTCAAAAATTGGTGAGGTTCCACTAGAAAACTTTACCTGCCCTCTTCTTCCACTAATTTTTAACAGATTGTAAGGTCCAAACAAACGAGAAACATAAAAGGTTTATTTAAAATGACCCATATATTCAAGCCACTCCAAGATACTTAGAATTACCAAAACATACGTTTAAAATGGCAAATAGGTAAGAATAAGATGTTTAAATTCCAGACTTCTTGGATTATTTATATTTAAAAAAAAAAAAAGAAAAGAAAATAGCCATTATGTACACTTACCTTACATAAAACTTCAACAGGAGTGGACATCTTCTTTTCACTAATCTTTTCATATTTTTGCTTTTTTGTTGCAGCCTGTGGAAAAAAAGAATCAAAACAGAGACATATTTACTACTACTGAGAAGAACCTTTTGAGTTTAACCCACTAGACATAAATGTAAACTTGAGACAAGAGAAATCATAACCTAGAATAAAAAAGAAATCAAAGTACAATATACAAAAATTTTCCAACCCTAAGCTGTTAGTTTTATGTGAGTTTCTACTTCAAAAAGATTTTTAGCTGTTAGGAAAGAGTGAGTTAATAAGAACATGATTTAATGGGTGAAGTTAAATCTGAAATGAGTTTTCACAACCCATATTCAACACGAGGGAAGGAGATAAATAACCAAAAACAGTGCCCATCATTTAGTAATATTAGTATGTGAAGTGAAAATAATTTTCCAATGTAAAAATAATTAATATTGGATAGAGCTACCCACACAAGCATGGAGCAACTGTCTAGTTCACAGATGCTCAATAAATAGAGAGACCATTTTCCTTTAAAGGACCAATAAAATGGGGCACCTGGGTGGCTCAGTCGTTAAGCGCCTGCCTTTGGCTCAGGTCATGATCCCAGGGTCCTGGGATCGAGCCCTGCGTCACGCTCCTTGCCCTGCAGGAATCCTTTCCCACTCCCTCTGCTTGGATTCCCTGTCTCACTATGTGTGTCTCTCTCTCAGATAAATAAAATCAATCTTTAAAAATAAATAAATAAGTAAATAAATAAATAAATAAATAAAGGGCCAATAAAGTGTCAAAATAGCCTTTAAATTCTAGGACACGGTAAGTTATCATTAACAGACACTCACAGAAGTCAAGATGAAAGTCCTAATTAATAGAAATAAATGTTAGGATAATTAAGTAAGATAGCTAGTATTACTAGAAGAACCAGTTTTACTACACATAAAAGTATACATTTTCAACATACTGGCAATACATCAAAATGAGACCATCTCCACCTTTAATTAGCCCATGTCAATTTCCATTCAGAGAAAACTACTGGTTAACAATGGGTACCTGCTTACTATTCTAAAGGAAATTATTCTTTAGGCCTGACTATAGGATTTGATTAACTTTATATTCTTGCTAAAATGATTGTATTTTATTTTCCAAAAGATAAAGAGTAAAGATAATTCACTCTCGGAAAGCCTCATGTTTGAAAGGGATCTTAAAGTTCATCTCCAATATGTATTTTTATTCTTAAAACAAAAAACTGGTAACGAAAGCCTCATTTACCTTTAGTCCTTGCCATGGCAGGCTGGTTCTATTAAAATACATCAAAACATATCCTAATGATTCCATGTCATCTCGGCGACTAGAAAAGAAAATGTAAAGTTATGAATTGGAATTTTTATGGAAAATGTGAAAGGCAGGCAGGTACCCAAGAAGTTTTCCCAAGTGAGGAGAAAGAGCAATTTGGTGAATTGTGAAAGAAGGTGCTTAAAGTTTAAAAAAAAAAAAAAAAAAAGAAGAAGAAGAAGTAGTAGTTCATAAAGAGTTACTTCTAAACAAAATTTTCTCACAGAACACGAAATCATAAAATCCAACAGTCCTGCAATTTGATTTCTAAAGAACAAAAAGGATTTAGCTGAACAACTTTCTAAATGAAGTTAATGAAGATGGAAGAACAAAGTAGCAGGATACTTTATTAAGTTTTGCAGAAGCTTATAAAAAAGAACTTGAGGGGGTGCCTGGGTGGCTCGGTTAAGCAACTGCCCTTGGCTCAGGTCATAATTGCGGAGATCGAGTCCCACCATCAGGCTCCCTGCTCCATGGGGAGTCTGCTTCTCCCTCTGACCTTCTCCCCTCTCATGCTCTCTCTCACTAATAAATAAAACTCTTTAAAAAAATGAAATAAAATAAAATAAAAACTTGAGGAATCCTGAAATAAATTAACATTTTATTTATTTATAAAAAGATTTTGCTTATTTATTTAAAACAGAGATGAGACAACACAAGCAGGGGGAGTGGTAGGCAAAGGGAGAGGCTCCCCCTGGGTGGTTCAGTCGGCCTTTGGCTCAGGTCATGATCCCAGGGTCCTGGGATCAAGTCTCTCATCCTGCTCCCTGCTCAGTGAGAAGTCTGCTTCTCCCTCAGCCTGCGGCTCCCCCTGCCTGTGCTCTTTCTCTCTGACAAATAAAATCTTTAAAATAAAATAAAGCTAATCAAACATCTATATGAATATATATACCCACATACACTGAACATTTCCTAAGCTTAAAATTCTTCTCTTCAAGTTCCCTAACCTGGAAGCCTATCATTTATCATTTCTATGCTTGTTTTAAGGAGCAAAAACTGACTGAGAAAAGACAACGACAAAAAACCAGAAATAGAAAATAGAAGACAGAAACAGCAAAGAGATCATGACAACGTCTACCTCAATCCAGATCCTATTAACTTACATAGGAGTGAAAGGGTAAAACATGAGATGATGGCCCAACCACCCCCTCTTGGTCCATCAGGACTCAGATAACATTTTCCTTGTAAAAATAAGAAACTAATGCATTCTTCTCCAAAACTTAACTTATATTACTAAAACAGAAAAAAAGTCCAAGATCAGCATTAAGAAAGTAAGTACTATCTTCAGCTGCAAGAAAAAAATATACATCAAGATAAAACTGCATGATGCTAACTTTCCATCAGGTAATATTTTCTCCCCTAGAGACAACTTTTAACAAACCTTTAACTTTTAACAAAAACAAAAGGTCTCTCATTTAATTGGCTTCTCAGCAGGGACTAAAGCCAACAGGTAAAAGGATTAACAAGCATCCTTCAAATCCTCAGCCAAGAGACATCTTTATATATCAAAAGAAACTAGTTAAAATATTTCCAAAAGCCCTTTAGTGACTATTGCTATGGAGCTGATTAACTCATTAATTTTTTAAACTCACCTCTGTTCAATACCAAGATGTGCATTGATGCTAGCATATCGGGCAGTGCCAGTGAGATTTTTATCTTCTCTGTATGGTATGTGTTGCCTTGTCCTGTTGTCTCTGTACTTTTTGGCCAAACCAAAATCAATAAGGAATAACTTTAAAAGAAAATAAAGAGGTATTAGGCTTCCAACCTTGTTCAAATGAACTGCTTTTTAGTCATTAAATGGCATTTATACTCTCTAGTTTAACTGTATCAAAATAAAGTATCACAGGCAGAAAACATGAATAAACTTAACACTTCAACAGGCTTCTACTAGTCCTCATCAATAGAACAAGTTAAAAGAAAACAGTTAAGTGGTTGATCCTTGTGAGCTGAATCAACTTCACAGGCCCAGTTACTACACACTCAGGAGCCTGTCTTTAGAAGAGTAACGGAGAAATATATACATGTTTGATAGAGATGAAAAGTGCTGTGTGCCATGATGAAATCTGTCATCCTGTTACTGTTGGTAAACAAGCATGAGGTTTCAAAAACTAAACATAAAACTATGTGGAATTCTTCCATTTTACAAAGGCCATTCTTCATTCAGTATGACAACAGAATGTTCATTATTTAAAATTAGACAACTCAAAGTTTGATACTGACAACAAAACCAAGATTTTTATTAACAAAAAATAAGGACTTTTTAAAAAAAGCATGCATTACATTCTACAACTTCTCACTGACATTTATCCATGTATCAAGTTAACCTTCTGGGAAATACAGTAAGTTGACAAAAAATCTTTGAGAAGTACTTAGTATTTGCTTATATCAAGAGAACTTAAAATTAGTTTAAAGGAGCTAATAACTAAAAACCAGACTAATATTTTAGAACAAAATAATGTTTAGTGCTGTCTTATTTATATGGTACACAGGGAGTAACATACTCATTTATAATGTAGCTAATTTTAAAAAGTAACTAAAGTTTATTCGTCACGATTAACACTTTAAAAGGAGGAAAAAACCTGGTTTTGATCAAAAAGAAAAAAAATCCAAAATACATTCATATTTACCTACCTTCTAAAAGCAAAATAATCTTCAATTTTTAGTCTTGATCATAAAATCACTTATTAAAAAGTTATGTTTACAAAAATTATCCAACAAGGCAGGTCTATGTGGCCTTACAGTATACAGCCCTAGACTTTTTTCTCCCTAGTTATACCTACATTTTATAGTTCTTTCCATTAAGTAAATTTTGGATCCCTTCTGCCCAGTTTATAAACTGTGATGTCCTAGGAAACCTGTTACCTAGCCTACTAGGGTCTGTATAAGAATAAATAAAATGACTGATTTAGAGAAAAGATGTGATCAAATATTTGCCTCTCTTAGGAGGATGAAAAACACTTTGACCAAGGGGTTCCTGGCTGGCTCAGTTTTAAGAGCATGAGACTCAATCTCAGGGTTGTTCAAACCCTCTATTGGGCACAGAGAGTACTTAAATATAAATAAATCTTGGAAGGAAGGAAGAAGGAAGGAAGGAAAGGGAAGGGGGGGGGGAGAAGAAGAGAAGAGGAAAAAAAACACTTGTATCAGGCAGGCATTGTACCCTAGCCTTTAACTGGACATCGGGATGGGAAAGACATTGTGGTTTGCGCTTGTGTCACCAGTGTAACAAGGAGATACTTATTTTCACCTGGTCTACTATAAAAGAATAAAGATTAAATTTTTAATAAAATTTAAATGGATGAGGGCTCACTAGTAAGATTAAATTCACTTCCTCAGCAATTGCATTATTATATGTCAATGAGAAAGTCTTACAAAACAAAGAGAAATTAAGCTCACACTCAAATGGGCTCAGCATACAAATATTAAAATGAGCAAAATACATTTCTGTTAAGCAAACCAAAAATTATGACTTAAGTTCTCCAGATTCACACTGAAAAGAAAACAAGGCAAAACAAATACAAAAGGACATCCAGCTTCACAGTATCTTTAAAAATACCCCTAAGAATTATGTGGGTTTTAAACAAAAGATGATTAGGACACAGACCCTCCTCTAAAGGATATTTTCTGGGATTGCTTCTTTTAGTACTTCAAAGCAGAGAAGACAGGAACAACTCTCCCATGACTATAACCTGATAGTTTCATTCCTGTCTACGTCTATATTCAGCAGCTCCATTTGCAACTCAGTAACCAGACATTTTCTAATAACTTTATAAAAGATTATTTTATGAAAACTCAGCATTTACTAGAGTTCTTTCTTTCCACGACTCTAAAGGATAAAATGTAGTTTATTAAGAAAACAAACACTATCTTCTCAAATATCTCCAACTTTATTACAAAACAAAAGCTACAAACCAAATCAACTCTAAATTTTCTCTTATAAAAACTGAGAATGAATGAGTCAGGAAAAAGAATTAAACTGCTAAACAGAGCTCTCTTATTTTAAGAGCGAACAACTGAAGAGGAAGATTATTTAAAATATTTAAAATAAAAAAAAAAATCTAAATCTCTTGGTAGTTCATCATCTGGTACTATCAAGCTTCTTTAGCAGCCCTCTCTGCTTTGAATTTAAAAATGAATATAAACATAATGGAAGTGTTTACATGACACCAGCAGATACAACCAAAGATACAACCAAACAGCCGCAAATACATAAAGAATCAAACAAGGAAAAGTCAGTATTCAGTAAGTTGTAAGATAATGTATTTTTCATAGGTTTGCATATGCAAAAGAAGTCTAATTTTTTTGGTAGGTCAAGGTGCTTTTCTGTGCATTTGTATTTAGTGTTCCAAGTAAAATCTGTGCCTGTCTTATAGAATGCGAGGCATGTGGGGATGAATTAATGTTGGACATACTGGGGTAACTCCATCCAGCAGAGGTGCACTGTTCTCAGAAACACTATCTCTAATTTTTTAGTATATCGAGCAATTTTTCTCTTAACCAAGGGCCACATTTCTCTGACCTCCCCAAAAATTCACACACAAGATAACTTTTCTTCACAACCCAGCTAACCTGTATGTAGAGAAAATAAACAATTCAATTTTATGGAAATTATTAAATGATTCTACTACAAAATATAAATTAAATGTGTGAATGAATGGATAAGCAAACATAGGGCACTAGGTGCTTTATAATGTGCCTAATTACCCAGCAACTCCTCTCCCTACCTCCAATTAAGAATCAGTCACAATTATTATTTCTTTGTGAATGAAAGTTGAGTTTGAATTTCGGAAACCTATTTAACAGCAGAAAATGGTACCTGGAATAATGCTGGGCAGTATGGAAAAGGATTAAATGATCACCCAGATGATGTATGTGGTACAAAGTATAGAACATAGTTTGAAATTACAAAGTATGCTCATAAACCAGATACAACTTTTCTCTTTTGATTCCTCATGCCAATATATACTTCCTTCTCAGTATACACTAAATTGTATGATGAAGATTCATTTGCTCAAGAAGTTAACAAAGCTCATTAACTTCTATGAAAGTAAAAGAAAATGTGAGGAGTTCTACCTACATAAAAAATATTTTAAAGAAAATTACTAGGTGTTTATTTAGCTTGCCAAACACTAAATCATCAGGTTATGCATTCCTTTAATTTATCTTATGTGTTATTAATTGGCAATTATTTGATAAGTGCTTTAGTGATGTTACTGTTATACTGTCAGACTGCAATGTCTCCTAATTCCAGGGCACATAATGCTCTTTCATCATCTCATGCTATTTGGTTGAAGTTGGGAGAATTCACAGATTGAGGAAAATCAATTCTAGAAACACTAGATCTCAAATCTGATCTACACTTACCTGAAGTTCACTAGGGAAGGGGAAGAGAGTTGAGGCAGAATATATTCATCACACAGCACTGATGCAACTGAATTTAGATATATTTCATGCATTAAGTTCTTCAACTCCAAATACATTTTTAAAAACTAAACAGTCTATCTCAAGTTTACCATTAGACAAAGAATTTCAATACTAGACCAACATATCATTTCCTCATGTAGGATGTTAGAGATCTAAACATAATCCTATTTTCATTTAGGTTTTCTCTAAACTTTACAAATTTTAAGCAAAAGCCACAAAAAAAAAATCTTAGTAATGTTATATGTTTGCCAAGTATGTCTGAATAATGCCAACGTAAGAGAGCTTGAGCAAGATCTACATTCTCCAGAATTAAAACAAAACAAAAATAATCAAAATAAAACAATAAAAAAGAAAAGCACATGAATTTGGGATTGAGGTTGGAATAGGAGACAGTTTCAGACCTGGTTTAATCCTGAGAAAGATGGGTCCTGAGAAGTACTAACAGTCATGCTTCTTTTCCTCTTCCCCACTGGAGATTCTAAACACTAAACAGACAATAGAGGGTGGCAGTGCATCAAACAGTATTGCTTACATTGCAACAATGGCCGGCGCAGACAGGCAACACCGAGGCATTAGAGAAAGAACAGGGTAGCCAAATGCCATCCTTCTTCCACCAAGCACTGTAGCTTCTCAGTTTTCCAAATAAGAATCACATGCTCAAGAACATTTGAATTCTGGAAAGTACTCAAGTTTTTAATGCCACTATATTGTGTCACTGCCTGAATCAGGGATAGCAATGGTGACATTTGGCTCTTTTAATTTTTTTAATCAAAAATGGGGAATTTGGCTCTGCAATATTTGGTATCACAATCTGCCCTTCCCCAAAAAAGATTGTACAGGGGAAAAAAATCTTCAGTAAGGAAGAGGTAGAAGGCATTTAGTCACCTCAAAATTGGTTTTCATAAGCATGCAGGGCTGATTACTGGAAGAGATGAACAAATTCACTAAGATTGGAGTGGTCACTCCTAAAATATCAAATTCAGAACAATTTTCCGAGTAAGAAATTTGACTTAAAAACAAAAACAAAAACACCTCAAAAGCCCCCCACTCTTTTTCCCCCATGAATAGAATACTACAACAAGCTAACAACCAAAGAATCCAGTCTCATAAAACTGGCATTTTTTTCAAACTATGATACAGAAAGAAAACACTAAAAACCAACTGCATAAACAAAACACTAATCTAAAATGTTCAAGAACAACATTTAGAATTTGAATCTTAGTTAAGTGAAACAGTACACTTCTACTCTAGGGTCTCTCTGAACTGTATTAACAGCAAGCAGCTCCACAGTGTTTTGTTTTGTTTTTTTTAATTCTCTCTCGAGAGGACACAAGATCCTAAAAACGTTTTCATCACGGGGCAAATTGGATATCCTAACACAACTATGTAATTAACAAGCTATTTTTAAAGGGGGGGGGAAGCAAAGAGGTATTATCTAGGTCATTTAAAGACAAAAACCATGTACTGCAATGTCGACATGCAGAACACAGATCACAAGAGGATAACGGGTCTTTAGCAGGAAGAAAATGGGGAAAGAGGGCTGGGAAATGGCCAAAAGATCAGGGTCAAACTAACAAAACTGCCCAAAAAATTAAGACTAGTAATTTTTTTTTCAATTTAATTACCAGGTTTTGCAATAACAATTAAGAACCTGGATGCTTCAGAGACAGAAGCTACATAGTATTAAAAGAAAAATAAGCAGCAGCAGCAATCTGGGAATGGCAAGATAACTTATATGTAGATATATACACCTTTCATTATTTAAAGTTTAGCTTTCAACAAAAAAATTTAATTTCCTAAAACTTGGTCAGATCAACATTAATGTCTCACACATTAACAAGTAACACCAGTTCTAATGGTAATGGCTACAAGTTGGCATTCATACAGGCAAACAAAGGTAAACATTTATAGCCAGACCTAAAAACACCAAACATTTCCTAGTTATTTAATAAAACAAATGGGAATCTTCCTTCTAAAACAAAACAAAACAAAACAAAAAACCACAAAAACCAAAAAGCCCCAAGTTGTCCTGAAGTTGAGAATTTCTATCAGATCATCAGATCATAACATGCTTAGTGCATTGCCAATGCTGCCTGTCTGCCCGAGCTCAACATTGAATCGATAAATAAAAGCAATTCACTCAATAAAACTAATCATTACAGAAAAAATTTCAACACAGTTAGTTTCTAACTGCAGTCATGCGTCACTAGCTAAAACCCAATCACCCCGTATGTTAACCATTCTGAGACCCCAATGAACACTAATTTTGTTGTATGAATGTTTGTTTCACTTGACTATATATTTTCCTTTGAAAGGGGAAGGAAGGTGGGGTGGAGAATCTACCCAACTTGGCACCCAAGTAAGAAACTGTCAACTACTTTTGAAGCAGACCCAAAAGTTATCCTTTTGAATACACAAATCCAAGGACTGAAGAATTCTCATTATGATCATGCTCAGTCAGCAAATGTTAACGCCATGGTGACAGATGGGTCAGTGGTTCCCACGCTGGCACAAGCACATATATTACAAAAACCCACACTTCAGAGACAAAGGTTAAAATCTGATTTTAGCATTCAGGAAAAAAAGAATATGGGGTTTTTTACTATTTGAATGAGTGAAAAACAGATACAACTGTTTAATAATTAAATAACAGATATTACATTTCAGTATAAAGCCCTTGGGAATTTTTTATTTCCATACAAGTAATTAACCTTGGTTGGGTAAGTTGGGAGAAAATTTACTTCAAGTTACTAAGTTAATAGAGTTAGCTGATTATCCTTCTAGCACAATCTTTTAAAGCAATCATCAAAAGCAAAGACAATTTCCTATGACTTTTTAAAGACTGAAAGTTTACCAAAGCAATTCTTGGGAGTTTTTAACTCTTTGTTCTTTCATGCAAAGAACATTTGACTAACCTTATTACAGTGACGCCCAATACCCATTAGGAAGTTATCTGGCTTAATGTCTCTGTGTATAAAATTCTTCGTATGCACATATTCAATTCTACTGATCATCTGGAAAAAAAAAAAGAGGGGGTGAGAGATAATTATGTAATTTGAATTATGATACAAGAAAGCAACGCATTATTTCTCAATTATTTCAAATAATTCAATTATTTTGCAAGATCACATGTATATTTTAACAACTTCATTTAGAGTTGTTTGACTAACAAAATTTTTTGTGTAAAGAGAAAACAGGCTGTTCATTTATCTCTAGTTTGATGAATACTCAAGTATAAACCTGCCCTGTTCTCTGGCATGTTCTAGTACTGATTACAAACATAACAACATCTAATCTGGCAGGAAGGATTGGTGTTTGCAATTTTTAATTTACAAAAGTAATAAATTTAGACTTGTTTCAGTTAGAGCTAAGTCATCAACATTCCACACCCAATTCTCTGCCCCAAGGTAACCTGTGTTACAAAAGCATGCCATTACCCATTTCCACGCTCTTATTTACACACACTGATGAACTCAAGGCACACATATGGGCATGGAGATGTTGATCAATTCAAAGATATAAGCTGTTATTGTTTTAAACTGAAATAAAAGCATCCTATTCATTTTATTCTTGTCTGCTTCTTTTTATTAACTTAACATTCCTGGAAGTTAGTAGCATACAACAAAAACATAAAACATGGGGACATACACATGCTAGGTTTTACTTCTTAGATGCTTTTTGAAGTCTCCCATGTTTTTTTCTCCACACAAGTAATCACATTCAAAAACTGATGAGAGTGTCATTCTTACAACCTTTTCTTAATTTCTTAGAAATTCTGCCAAGTTAAATGGTGTAGGCCCTAGCACAGTTCTTAACAGCCATAAATATTCTACGGTATAGATTAAGTTTTCCCCAACCATTATTCCCACTGTAAAGAATAATAATGCTATTAACATATTTAAATTAAATATATCCTTACCTACTACTGCTTTTATTTCTAAGGGCTATAAACCCCATACAACTATATGGAGAGTGACTGGGTTGATGCAGCTATCATTCTGATAGGTGGCACCAGACTGTCTTAAAATAGGCTCTAACAATTCAGTTTCTAGCAGTACTTCAGAATATTCCTTTTCCCATTGGCAAACTTATTTTAGTTCCTTCTAAATTTTGCCAATGACAGGTACTGACCTCACTTCTTCGCTAACAGTTTGAAAGTCTGGTCATTTATTATTTGGAACTGCCAATCTGTATTCTGTCCATTCTTTTGGCTTGTCCCTTTTTTAATCAATTTTAAGAATTCTTTGCATATAACAATCTTTTTTTATCTGTTATGTAAATAATTTTCAATTTTAAAAAACTGCCTTGTTAAAAAAAAAAAACTGTCTTGTTACTACAGCATCACTTTTTTCCCCTATCACTTCTAGAATAAACTGTCAAATTATCAAATATGTCTATCTTTTCTGGGAGACACTTAAAAGTATTTGAAAATGTTTTCAATAACCAAAGACTAACTTTATCTTTCTACCCATATGTTCTTGCTCTTCTCAGTATATCTGTCAGGATTCTATTTTTTATTGTCCCCACTTTCTCTAGAGCTTTTAATACCATACAGATTCTGAACTTTGACAAAATGTCTCTTAAATCTATAATCTCTAACTTAAACTATAATTTCAAGGAAGCAGATATATATGCAATGTCCAAACAGCACATTTAGTTATTGCAGCAACTTGTACTTTATTAAAGGAAGAAAAAAAGAACATTTCTCTCACTTAATGTACTTAGTTGTCCTAGGCTAACTGAGACCCATCATTAAACCAGGATCATTGATTCACTGGGAAAAGGTGTGGCCAAAGATAATAAATGGCACCAACTACTTACCTTCAAGTGTTCTCTATCACCTACAGAGCCAACGCTTAGCAGCTAACTCCTTAAACCACAACACTGCTTTATTGCAACCCCCTTCCCTGAAATACATTTTTTTCTATTACCAGTGTACCCAGTATAGACTTCTATCACAAAACCTTGAACACTGTACCTTTTCCATTTTTTCTCTACTAAACCATACACTCCTAGGGCAAAGGGACTAGAGTTCTTACTCTTCTCTGCACCCTCCGATGCTAAGTAAAGCAGAAGGCCCTGAATAAATGCTCACTTATGAATACCTATGTGTTACAGAACCTATGGAATATAAACTCTTTTATTAGGATTCATTTACATGTTACGTATGAGGAGGATCTTAACTTTCAACGTTTGAGTTCTTAACATTCCACAATTAAAACAACGTAATCTGCTAATATTTCCTTGAGCCACTCAGTGTTTTTATGTTAATCTTACTGGAATATCAGGCTCTGATTACAGAGAATGAACACTATTTTCTAATCCCCTGAATTTATACTTTTAAAAGTTCTACCTCAAATGCCAGTGTATCATCTCATTTTATTTTGACGTCCAATCTAAATTTTAAAAATGTTATTCTCTTCCACAGCATTTTTACATATCAAGCCCTTTCTTCAAAAATCTTATAAAGAAACCTGCTATATTCTTCACTAAAATACAGATTCCATCTGATAAAACAATGTGAAAACTACTATTCTACAGGTCAGCAACCAATATAACCCTTTTTTGTCCTATGCCACAGGAAAACCTCTATTAAACTGAATTAAAGTAGTACACTTGAATGAGTATACATACCTATTATGTCTTTTTTATTTTTGCTGAACATAAGGTTACATAGCACTCTGGTTTATAAAAATTTACATTACACTTAAATTATTAGTATTCTCAATTTTTATTTTCATCAAAATTTCACATACCTGGTCAGCTAACATAAGTACAGTTTTCATTGTGAACCTTCTTGAACAGAAATTGAAGAGGTCTTCGAGGCTGGGTCCAAGAAGATCCATGACTAGCACATTATAGTCTTTTTCCTGACCATACCACCTAACAAAAGACAGAAAGGGAGAGCTTTATGAAAAGGTGATTAGCACTTACTATCACTAAATTTCTAAAAAGCTCTAGTAACATAATAGTTTTCCTTATCTATTTATTTTATTGAAGTTACTATGGGGCACCTGGCTGACTCGTCAGTGGAACATGCCACTCTTGATCTTGGGGTTATGAGAGTTTGAGCCCCACAATAGGTAAACGGATTACTTATAAAATAAAATCTTTTAAAAGTAAGTAAACAAATAAAGGTACCATGTATTTTTTTAAATCTACATTTTAATTGCTATACCCAAAATGGTGCTGGAACTCACAACCCCGAGATCAAGAGTGGCATGCTCCACTGACTGAGCCAGCCAAGTGCCCCAGTTAGGTTTTATTTAAGATTAAGTTTCCCTCGGGGCGCCTGGGTGGCTCAGTGGGTTAAAGCCTCTGCCTTCCGCTCAGGTGATGGTCCCGGGGTCCTGGGATCAAGCCCATCAGGCTCTCTGCTCAGCAAGGAGCCTTATCTCTCTCTCTCTGCCTGCCTCTCTCCCTACTTGTGATCTCTGTCAAATAAATAAATAAATAAATAAATCTTAAAAAAAAAAAAAAAGATTAAATTTTCCTCTATTCAGATGATGAGTCCATTGACTGACTATACTGCCCAACACAAAATAAGAATAAAAAAGTTTCTTCTGTCAAGCGGTCCCACTGCCATATTAAGATAGAATACAGAACCTGCATGGTCACCTTGACACTCCTCTTACCAAAGCATTTGAATTCTATATCCATTTGCCACTGACTCCTATGACCTCCTTAATCTCACCTGATACTACTTCCTAAAAAGAAATGGAGGAGACTACCAATCTTACAAAGCAAAGACCCTTTTCTTTCTTCAAAGATTTATTTGACAGAGAGGCAGATAGAGAGGGAACACAAGCAGGGCATGTGGGAGAGGGAGAAGCAGGCTTCCCACTGAGCAGGGAGTCCCACGTAGGGCTTGATCCCAGGACCCTGGGATCATGACCTGAGCCAAAGGCAGACAGATGGTCAATGGCTGAGCCACCCAGGTGTCCCCAATTTATCTAGGTTTTTCAAGAAATATTCCATACAAGAACACCAAATCCAGGCAACAGCTCTTTCTGCCCAAGGGTCCTGTCCCTGTGCTTTAATAAACCATTTTTCAGCATCAAAAACAAAACAAAACACCACCACCAAATCCAGAAAGAGCTAAGGCAGTGAGAGGGCACAAAAAGATAAAGGTAAAAGGGGAAAGCAAAAACCAACTCTCCTTAGACCACATTTCATCTCTCCACAACAGATTTCCACTGGATATCTCACTAAGAAAACTAAAACAGTTGAGCAAATTTTAGAACCATCCATCTAACCCAATTACCAACCCGAAATGTAAAAGGCAAAAATTCCCATTTCCTTTCTTCATGCAATTACACGGGACTTCATAAAGAACTCTGAGAAGTCATCTGCAAAATTAGCCTTTAACAGAATATTCTCGTAATAATTAGAAACTGGAAAGAATTAGGTGAATTTCAGAAACATGCTAAAGAATAAAGTTATTGGGCATTTTCCTCCTTACTTGCGTTAAGTGTATAAGACAGATCTGCTATTCTATACATCAAAAATATATATATAAATAAATAAACAGTCCATAAAAGGCAGCTAAAACAGAAATGTTCGAACGCATTTTCTCCACAGAAAAACCATGTATTTCTGAATTAGGTCTTCCTGTTGTACAGAGATTGGTACCGAAACCCCTTAAACCTAAGTGACAGGTGTGTTTCTATCTTTCATACTTCCTTTTGGTCTCAAGGAATATATAGCTTATTTCTCTAAAGTTAACCCACAACTCTCCCATCTGTGCTTTCCACCTCTCTAACTCATCCAGACATTATTACACACAGATTAGAGCCAAGAACAGTCTACTATTCATCCAAATCCTACTTAATTCAGTTTCTACCCTCACTTCTGTGTTTTCCACTCTTATTCTAAATGAGCTTCTAACTCTCTACTTTCAACCCCAAAGTCCTAACACCCAGACACCAAAGAAAGCTTCCTCAAGTAGCCTGTTCCACACTGCTCCATTTCTGACTTTACAATTGTATACACAATCAAACCATATTGTATTGACAATACAATATGCGGGTGCTGTCATTTTGTGGTGTTTCTGTCTCCATATCTCATAGGTCAGACCTTACTGTTTGAAATTGTCTTCAAAGAACCTGGATAATGAGCAAGCAAGCACTAACCTGATTCTCTGAGATCATTTAAGTCTGCAGAAAATCTGAAACCAACCAATACAAAAACTCAAGATATTATCTTTAGACCTTTTTAATGTATGGTGTATGTTGCTAGTATATGATAAAGTGATGTACATACACAATGTAGGTACTCAGTTTCCGTAGTGTAGTGGTTATCACGTTCACCTCACACAATGTAGGTACTCAAATATCTATGCAATTAAAGAAAGAACTCTGGTTTGATTTGGACCTTATTCTTACAAAGTTTCAAAACAAGCAGAAAAACCAAGTAATTTAATGGATGAAAGTAAAAAAAAAGTACAAGAGTCTCATTTTCCATTTACTTGTTTTATTTTTTTTTAATTTTATTTATTTATTTGACAGAGAGATCACAAGCAGGTAGGGTCGATCACAAGCAGGCAGAGAGAGAGAGGGAAGCAGGCCCCCTTCTGAGCAGAGTCCCCCCCCAGGCCCCATGCGGGGTTCTATCCCAAGACGGTGATCATGACCCAAGCTGAAGGCAGGGGCTTAACCCACTAAGCCACCCAGGAGCCCCACTTACTTGTTTTAAATTAATGCTTTCAGACCTAGAGTTGCCTGACCAATCAAAGTCGAAGGCCAAAGAATGAATTTAAAATTTATATAACTGTCATTACTTAAAGCATTAAGAAAGCTACCTTAAGTTCTAAAGAGGATGCTAAAAAAGGCAAGGTCCACCTCTTTGCTCCTATTTCCCTTCCTCTAAACCCATATCCAAACTAAACCTAGTTAAAAAATTAAGACACATGAAAAGGAGAATGTAAGAGGGCCTGACAAAAAGTGCTAAGAGAATTCAGAAACCCAAAAGATCAATGGTAATTAAATTTATCCAAAGAAGCCTTGTAAAAATGGTCTATTACCAGTTAGATCTTGACAAAGGGATAATACTTTGAAAAGGAAAGTAGTAAAGGGGCATGCTAGGCAGGGGCAAGAATAAACTCCAGGCTCTTAATTAAGAGGAAAGTCAAGGTGACTTATAATTCAAGGCTTCATTATAGACTCTTTAAAGCCAAGCTGAAGAGCTTTAAATTCTTTAAATAACTGGGCGAACTATCAGTAGAGTGTGGTGGGGGACACAATATAATTCAATCAACATTTTAAGATTAGCCTTGGCATCAATACTCATTGTAGAAATGGGGGAGTGGGAGAAGGAAGAGAATGACATAGTGACCAATTAGAAGTGTCATGGCTGGAGGGGTGCGGGGTGGCACCGTCAGTTGAGTGACCAAACCTCGGTTCTGGCTGAGGCTGTCACCTGTGAAATAAGTATATATGGTAGACCGAGCCCTGCTTCCAGCTCCATGCTCAGCAGAGTCTGCTTGAGATTCTCTCTCGTTCTCCCTCTCCCACTAGTCCTCTCACACGCTCCCTCTCAAATAAATAAATAAATCTTTTTTTTTTTTTTTAAGTGTTATAGTTGGAGATCTGATGTTAGGGATTTTTCTCTGCCTATCTCTTTATGGAAATTAAAAAAAAAACTTAGAAATGAAATAAAATGACTGAAATATTTTAAGTATTACTATGAGACCTAAGGGCTTCCAAGAACCATAAATTAGTATAATTATCATAAATATGCAGTTTAAGGGACCTGGGTGGTTTAGTCGGTTAAGCATCTGCCTTCCGCTCAGGTCATGATCTCAGGGTACTGGGACTGAGCTCAGCTGGGAGCTTGCTTCTCCCTCTCTCATGCTGCTCCCCGTGCTCATGCTTTCTCACCCTCTCAAATAAACAAGTATGCAGTTCAGATTAAAGCATTAAAATATGTTTTTCATCTCTATGACTAGGATAATAATAACGGAAGACTTGTTTAATTAATGTAGGTCCTCCACTCACACTGTCAGTTTGATAGGTGTGATGGTTAGTTAATCTTTTGCCTGGGCTAAGTAAGAATGTTGGGATAGGATACCTGGTAAAACATTTTTTGGGGGTGTCTGTGAAGGTGTCTCCAGAGATCAGCATTTGAATCAAGATTAGCACTTGAGTGACAGACTAAGTAAAGAGGATAACCTACCCCCAAGTGGAGGGCTTGAACAGAACAAAAGGAAATAAAACTAAAAAGCAGAGGAAGGGAAAATTCGTCTGCTAGAGCTGAGACATCCACCTTCCGCCCTCAGTTATCCATGCTTACAGTTCTCAGGCCTTTAGGCTTGGGACCTAAACTACACCACTGTTTTTCTAGGCCTCCAGCCTGCACACCTCAAACTATGGTACTTCTCTGCCTCCAGGTGTAAGCCAATGCATCATAATAAATCTTTCTGCTTATCTCTGTATCACCCATGGGTTCTGTTTCTCTGGAGTCCTCACTAATACAACATGGGCAGCCACTGCATTTGTCTCATTCACAACCCCATATTCCCAGCATCCAGAACAATGTCTTACCTGCGAGAAATACTCAGTAACATTTGCTGAATTAAAGAATAAAAAGCCAGATTAGAGGCTCTAAAAGCCTGGGGAGTGCTTGATTTGGCACACAAGGAAAACGAAACAAGGACAACAAAACCACTCAGTACTTGAAGTATAAAATCATCAGGAAGCACCTACTCATCTTTGATTTAAATTAGCCAAGTAATTATAGACGTTTACAAGTGATATTCTTAACAGGCACACCTGTGCGCTTATCTTCCCATCTTTACGTCATTAATGTCAAAGTCTTCACTGAACAACTAAAAAGAAGGAACACTGAATCAGAGCTCTAATAGCATCTCCATTCTCAAGACACCA